TCAACAAAAATCTATTAGACTTGACCCTGAAAAGGGGCTAGTGACAAAAAACATATTGGAAAACAACGAAGTCAAATAAAAAGGCACAAAGGGGGTTAGGTCATATTTTACGTGTTTTAGAGAGACCCAATCTGCATTTTTGAAACATCAGGTCGGACCACTAGACCTAGCAGTTTTTCAAGTTATTTAGGAGTTTGTTTAAAATAACTTTCTTCCGAAAGTTGTTCTAATCAAATAAATCGCCTTCCGAAAATTATTCTATTATACTTTTTCGGATTCTCTAATGCAATGTCAAACACTACATAAATCTCGTGTCAATAAATTTGGAATTTGATACCTATAGTTTATCGCTAAATGTATTGAAATAACTAGTGCCGAGACAACGAGCAAAGAGTTCGTGGGTTAAAGTGCATGACGTGGTATTTACTTGGTTATCGAACACAAATATATAAGAAAAAAGAAAAATATACTGAGCTTGGTATAATAGGGCCAAAGTATCTTTTAGTCAACTATAGGATGACTTTACACAAAGGTATGTTGTCCTAAGGAAAAAATGGTGTCCTTTTATATCAGCACAATAATTTGTTAAAAAAGAATCCTATGAGACATTGAATTATGTAAAGGTGTTACAAGATTTGACCTTTCACCAACCATATTAAAATCCCTTTTGTCCAAAACAAGTAGTTATGTGTGTTGTGTTTGGAAGAGTGCGAGGCAGCTTATTCAGCTTCATGGTTTAGGTAAAAAATTTGAGCGAAACTTCTCGAGGATTAACAATAAACCGCCTCTAGTATGCAATATTCGAGTGATTATCATTCAATGAATCTTGAAAGAAAATACTTTTAATGAAATAAAAATGTAAAACAAATTTTTTTTTTTTACAATAATACAAGAAAAATATTGAATAATTATTAATATGTGAAAATTAATGAACTGCAAAGATGCTAATTGCAGAGGGTGCACTGGATGTCTACCCGTGACTGACAGCAGTCATACAAAAGTCTAATCCTCACATGGCAATTGAAGGATACTCTTTACAAACCGTCAAACCCCATCTTTCTCTCCCCCTTCTTTTATTTTTATTTTTATTTTTTCTAAGAGTTAAAACTTAAGCCCTTGTTTGAGCTCCATTTTAGGAAAAATGTATTTTCAAATTATAATTTTTGGAAAATTTGTAGTTAAAAAAGAAAAAAATTTAATTTATCTGTAAAATTATTTTATTGAAAAATGTATAATTAAAAATGTTTTTTTTTTTTTTTATAAAATGATGCTCAAACAAGAGCTAAATTGCGTGTGGTTCATTTCGAGCATTTTCAGTCCGCTTACTTTAAGTTACTTATTTTCAAAATGACTTCTATACTAAAAATTTCACCTTAAATTTTTTACGACTTATAAATTTACACAGTCAAAATACTGTTAGAATAATTTAAAATTAATTTTAGGACGTCTTTAAAAATATTAATGGTGTTCGAGTGATTTTTTAATTAATAAGAGAAATATGGTTTTTAACTTCGTCAAACGTGAAAAGTAAAATAAACTTTTTTATACTAAAAGCTCAAAAAAAAAAAAGTATGTAGATTAATTTCTCAAGCGTGCAAAACCAAAAGCCAATTTCTTGGCATATGTTATGTGGGTATTTTAAATAAGCTATACTAGACTCCACATAATTAAATAAAATAATATAATTTAAAACAAATTATTCTTTTCTTTAATATTATAAACAAACCTACTATCTAACATTGGATTGAAGGATCCAAAATTTGAAAAAAAAAGGTGAAATATATAGTGATAGGCAGTGAATTTCATGTTGCTTTTCCCCTATTCATTTACAATAATATAATTGGTACCACATAAAATGATTGCTAATTATGCTCTTCAAATTACCACGCCAATAGGTCAAATGGGTACATAAGAATGTAATAAGAAGTTTGTGTCTTTTTGAGGTATGGCTAATTACTTCTCAATTTTAAAAAATATGATCGATAAATAATGATGGCAATGGGGCGGGTTTGGGGCGGGGTACCCTCACCCCACCCCACCACTCCCCCTCGTCTCCCCACCTTAGATGGGGCGGGGCTCGACGGGTACGGGGTGAGGACTTGCCCTATTTCCTGCCCCATTTGTTTTTTTTATTATTTTTTTATTTAGGCTCCGTTCGGGAGGGATTAAAAGCCAATTAAAATNTCATTTGTTTTTTTTTTTAATTTAAAATACAAATTCAAAATTTTAAAATCCAAAACAAATAATGTTCAAACTAACTATATCAATATTCAAAGCAAGCACTTGAAACGAAATAACGTCGAAAACAATTTTTTTTTTTAATTCTTCACGGGGTGGGGCATCTCCGCCCCACCCCGCCCCGCGACCCGCGACGGGGCGCCCCGCCCCGCCACGCCAACCCATTCGGGGCGGGAAAAATTGTCATCTCTATCGATAAATAAGTTATTTAACATATATCATCAATAGAAACGAGATATTCTAATTAATTGAAAGTTGAGAATAAGAATACGACGATAAAATAGAAGACATAAATTGTACAATGAGTAAACACGGAGAACCTCAAATGCACTAAAAATATAATACAACTGATAAAAACATAGTATGATAATTACCCTTTAAAAATATTATTAAAATGAGAACATAAATCTTATATAGGTGATTTAAGCAAAAAAAAAATCTCTAAATTAAATGGGACTCTCAATTTCTTGGTTGAAGTTCAAGTGTTCAAACCTTTTGGCATAGTTGTATGATTCTTCTGCACATTGAGCAATCAAAACATTGAAATTATAAAAAAGCATGTATAAGAAATTTTTGTGATTAATTTAATTACGTGTGATATTAAGGATAATAAAGTCTCGTGTTTATAAAGTATAAACTACACAAAGCTAGGAATGTCAATATATCGGAGTTTGTGTTCAACTCCTTGAAAATTTCTAACTTTCGGCTTGTAACGAATCCTATGAGATACATCTAAAGAAAGAGTTTCTTAAATCCTATGAATTTGCAACTTTTGAAAAGGTGCATTTTGTTATGTGAATATCTAAACCTATAAATGATACTCGTTTACGATTTTGTATCTCGTCTAAGAGTTTTCAACACTCCTTACAACCGATACATAACTAGATTATCGTTGAAGTCAACATCCTTTCAATCATTTTATAACATTCGATTTTTTAGATTACGGTCTAAAAATGCAATCATATTAAAATCCATGTTAAAATCGAGAATTTAGATAAACAATTATCATCCACTTACAGTTTGAATTTAAATACCATAAAAATTCATAGATATTAGAAAAATAAAAGGTTTTATCCTTTTAGAAAACGTCGTGCACATGTACCCTGAAATTTTATTTTATTTGCTCCATAGAAAGAAGTGTAATGTGAGATTCGTGCAGTCTTGTCTTATTACAACCGGATACATTCGCCTATTACATTTTGCTGACATTTATTCAAGAAATAAAATTTATAGGTGTTAATTTCATTGATTCTCAGTCATAGTTACTTTGAAACCGGTCATCTACCTTGTCAAAGAACCGCAATCAGAAAATGACAGTAACTTCAGATGTCGATATTGAATGTGACAATGCCTACGAGCATAAAGAAACAGCACGAAGAACAATTAAAGCTAATGAATCTGTTGTCAATGAGTCGACTCCAGTGCAACAAATACGTGCATCATTTTTATCTGAGACATCGACAAAACTCAACGCACCTATAGCCTGGAAGCAAGAACAAGCATGAACTACTAGTTCCCGTGGGCAACTTTTCGAGGGGTAAGTGGATGGAATCTTGAAAGGGAAAGAAAAGAGAGGCCAAAGAACTCAAAAGTAGAATCACAGGAGCCAATGATTTTGACTACAACAAATCCGTACGCACAACAGAATTAATGTCGATTTCAAATATATGACTTGGCCTTGAAACACAACAAAAACTCTAATTCATGCCAGCAAATCTGAAGTGAACTATCTTATAACGGGCAAATCACCACATTCTGCCACAAAATCTCCACCATGGCTGGAAAAGAGTACTTTTCACCCATGTATAATAATATGAGTAAGTTAGACAGATAAAAGGACCAAAGCATGCAGACAGGCACGCACTCAAATAAGCCATCAGCTGTTACAGACTCAAAGCACGCCAAGCATGAAAAAGGATAATAGTAGTTCTATAAAATACCAGAAAGAATTGCACAGTAAGTGAAACAAATGGAAACAGGAATTAGAGAAAATTTCAGGCACCAACAGTATCAAATCATGCAATCTGTAGAATGAAGAAAACAGGAATTAGACAAGTTTCCTAGGATGATCCATGTACTGAGAGGAAGTGGTTCGTTCTCCTTTTAAAGGAAGAAAAAAGATGGGCAAAACAAACAAGGAACATAGTGAACAAGAAAAGCACACGTCAATAAGCATGCCTTACGTCAGATCATTATGATGTAAGTTGAACGTGAGCAAAAAATTTCCTTGAACGACCACAATTAAAAGAGTGAACTCATAAAATCAAGAAGCAAGAGAAAACTTAGAAAAATCACAGGAGACTAGGATTTTCACTCAAAGAAATCAGCACATGCATCATAATAAGCCATGTCAATTTGCAAATATAATGCACTTGATTTCACTTCCGTCCATTCCTTAGCCTTAAAGGGCCACAGAGACTCCAATTCGTGCCAGCAAAATCTGAGAAAGAAAGAGCACTTACTTCTGACAAGCATGATGCCCGGTGAAGATTACATTTAAAATAAGCATATAAAACCAAGACAGGAAAAGCATGCATATAGACACATAACAAGGGGTCATTAGCACATACATATTCAGAGCACATTAAAAGTGGAAAGCAAAGAAAATTAAAAAAAAAACTGCATAGATATGGATATTCTGCTTACTATCATGTTTAAGCATGCCTGACAGTATCCAATCAATGCAATCTGTAGAAGAAGAAAAGAAAGATCCAAGTACTGTGAGGAGGTGGTTCGATTCTCCTTTTAAAGGAAGAAAAATTATTGCCAAACAAGGAACACGATATGTAAATCTTAATTTCGAAAATATGATAATCACTTATAGTGAACACACAAAGCACATGTCGAAAAGCATGCCTTGCATTATATCATGGTGATATGAGTTGAACGTGTGCATGCACGCATTTCCTCCAATCAAGGGTCATAATATTGGCAGAATTAGAATGAGAGTAATATTGCACAATTAACCAGATGGAAAATTTAATAATTTTCACCTCAATAACCTTCAAGCCAGCACAATAACAACTACACACGGAACCAAACCAAAGTTATCCTAGCCAACCGACAAGACTCGAACTATAATAGAACGTAAAGATGCCACCTTCTCGTCTTATGCCATTCAAATCACAGCATGAGACCTAATAAGACAAGTGTCCAACTTATATGAGGGCATATAGATATAGAAAGTGAAAGCATTGTGTTTCAGATCATAGATTTTGTGACTACGACTTCTAGATTTTATCAAGCTTTTCTGCTTTGACAATGGGATTTGCTTTGGCTATAGCATCTTGAGCAGCGGTCCGGTAATCAAATGGGCAGTTGTGTTTGTCAGAGTAACGATGAACCGAACAGAAGAGATTTCCACACCTGCAACTGAAACCTGTTAAACCCACACGCTTAAGGCAAGCAGTGCATCTGTTTGGGCCCTCTCTTCCCTTCACCTCTGAACTCTGGCCTGACAACATATCGCCAAATGTTTGTGCAGGAACAACCTTTAACTCCAATGCTCCAGCTTGCACATCTACAGCACCACCAACAGTAGACTCTTTCTCGTTGCTAATTGAGCTGCCATTGACTATGTTCTCGATCGATGAAGCAGCAAGTTTAGCCTGTTGCTGCTTCAAGGCCATGTCCTTGTGGCACTTGGAACACATATTCATGGTGGCTGCACTACCAAAGAAGCCACAGTTGTTGATGCAAAGAATTGGGCCTTCAGGAGTTTGACAGCCTGTCTCTTTGGAAGACTCCATTACCACAAATACGCTGCCATTTGCCAGGATAGGGATCAACATGTACACGTGTAAGGCATTCAGGCAAAGAGTACATACAATTAAGCTGATAGGCATTAATGTACAATCGACAACCTAAAAAGTAAAAAATCGTGCAACTTCTGATATTCCCCAGCACGTGATTCATTCATTTCATTTAATTATTGACATATGGGGTAGAACAGAGATTTTTTTAGACAATTAAACAACTCGTGAAATTTATTGAAAAATACCATGGAAAACCTACTTATCAAGTTTGCATTTGTTAAAAAGAGCAGAATCAAAGATTTCTTAAGTGGTATTCGGTGCTCAGTTTGCACTAGGCAAACACCCATAAGCTTCTCTGCAGAAATAGATTATTCCTGTTGATCAGTTTACTGATACCAGATAATAAAATCTCAATGATTTCTAGAAGTTTCCAAACTAATGTACACCAAGGAAACCAGAAATCAACAGAATTAACACGGTCTGGTGAGAAAGAAAACTCGTAAACAACAGAACTAACACCGTCTGATCTTCGGTAAGTCACTTACGAGGAAAAAATAATATTAACAAGTTCAAAATGTAGTATAATTGTTCAAAATTCAAAGATAATCATACTAACCTACAAAACATCCCAATTAGTATACATTCTCATTACCAAAATCTCGTGCTGGTGTTCCACGAGAAAGGGAAAAAAAATCCTTAATTTACGCCTTTGTCACATACCCTTTGTTCCAAAAAGCAAAAAGCAAATAGCAAATAGCTTTAGCCCATATTAGTAAAATTAATCCCTCAACCATACATAGATTACATTAAATATTGATTAAAAGTGAAGTCTTTACACAAAAATTTATACAAAAATGAAAAATAAATAGAACCCTAACTGAACAGACTATGAAACAGATAAATTTCACCTGAAATCGGGAAATCGAGAACTATTGGCAGATCTTGACTCGAAAAAATCGAGCCAGGGTTTAAAACATTTCCTGTAACACCAGAAAGTAAGAAAAATAACAAAACATTCAATTTTTAACACGTTTCTTTAAAAAAAAAAATACATGGATCATAAAATCGGAGCCAAAGTATATACACATCAATCGAAGATTAACAGTAAATAATACCTTACTTCAAGAAATAATCGAAACACCTTCCAAGAGGAAGAGAGCCAGAGAGAGTAAATTATTGAATTTTTATCTCCTCAGTTTTGAGAATTTATAAGAATAATTACCGCTGCCCTGGAAGAGAGTCGGTCAGGTCATGTGTATTGAAATGCCCTCGCCAAACTTCGCTACTACCATTTTGCCATTTCGGGATAAGTAAGTACAACGTAGTCTTTTTCATTTGGACAAATCCACTTGTACTGAATTTTTTGTACCGAAAATGTTACACTCTCTCATATGTGTGCGGGCCCCTATAAATAAAAAAATTCCAAATATGTGGTCCCCCAAACCCTATTGTGAGTGTAGGTAAAAAAATGGATGTACGTGTAGCATTGTCCTTTTCATTTTTCTCTTACAAATATTAAGAGGTCAACCAAAGACGTCGTGTCCACATAGCTTAAGCAAGTTGAGATCGTGTAGGGAAAATTGAACTAATCAGTTGCGAGTTATTTTAAATGATTTGGAAGGAGACGACTTGATTTAAAATGGCTGAGAAACAAGATCGACATGTTTGCTCCAGTCATTGACCACTACTTGTAAGGAATCATCAAGAATCCTGATCAAGCATCAAGTCGTTTATTGAAGAGCACGTAACGGATTGTCGTTAAGTAATGTTCAACCGTCAATTTTATCGAGTCAATGTTGATTATATAGCGACTTCGCTTAGTATTTCAAGATTCATGACTTAAGTTTACCATTAATTCTTTGAATTTACACGGTATCATTTCCTCGACTCAACCAACAAGATATCTCGTTGCTTTCTATTTATAAGCATAATCACAAGATCAACCTCTTTTATATAGATAGGCAAGAACCTCCATATGTGATAATTTAACTATATAAAGTAGCTCTCTAACCAATATGACGTGTTACTAGATGGTAAGTGAAATTAAATTTGCTATTGAAAAGGGTAACGATTTCATAATTATTCGAATCACATCACGTGCGGCCAATATTAGCCGATGATTCACACGCCAACACGTGCGTGTGGCTCTTCACTAATAAAATATTTGTATCTATTCACCAACAAGGAGCTTTGGTGGCGAGTTGAGTAGCCAGTAATAATACTAAGAGTGTGTTTGGTAGGAATTTTTGAGGGAAAAATTGATTTTTGAATAGTGATATGATGGGAAATGTGTGGTTGAAAAAGAAAAAAATATTGATGTGATGGAAAATATTATTTTATTGAAGAATGTGTAGTTGAAAATGAGAATTGATTTACTATAAAAAATATTGAAATACCGATCGAGGTCATTGTCTAGTCGACATTGGCTCGATGACAAATGATGGTAGGGAGATTCTTGACCATGGTTCATAACATTAGATGAGAGATAACTAGGTATTCTCTATCATCAAGAGTGTAATACTCAACAAGATATTTTGATCGACGAAGTTCATTTATAGTTAATAACAACAAAAATATAAAACAAAATAAGAGGGAATTTTTGTTTAATAAGGGGGAAAAAAAAAAGGACTCTCGTCATCTCTTCTCTGCCCCCACGAGATTGATGAAGGGAGAAGGAAGTAGAAGGCATGACACTGGTGGGTCTTTTCTTTTTCTTTTTTATCCGTCTTTGCTTTTCTTTCCTGTTTTATATATTTTTGTTCTATAAAATTTATTTTTACTTTATTAATTTTAATCTTTGAAAGTGTTTCATGTGCCAATTATTTGGTAGACATTTTTTTAGAGAAATTTAAGAATAGGGAATTGGTGATACAAAAATTGGCACATGAACCATGATCGAGCATCTACCCATCAATTCACAAGCACATATGGATCATGATTAAGTAATACTCGACCACCAATTGTCATCGAGCTAGTGTGGATTATTATACAATGACCTAAATTGGCTTTTGAATATTGATGAGTCACCATTCACATTGATTCTTAGAATTCACCTAGCACCATTTCCTTGAAGACGCACTATAAAACTTGAATAATCTTCATTAAATCTCCTTGAAGACATTTTATTGAACATGTTGTAATAAACAGTCCCAGATAATATCAAGTAGATAACAAAAATTAAAGAATACCAATGATTTTTCGTCCTTAATCCCATATGTTTATCCTAGAAATGGCTAATCATCACGTTGAGCATCAACCAAAGTGGTTATCGCTATAATCCACTAGAAACCAGCAAAGATTATTAGTATAAGAATCACAATACAGAAATCCAAACGGATTTAGCCCTCAGACCCCAGTTTTCTTCTCTCAAGAATTCTCAACCTCAATTACACTAAGTAATCAAAAGTTACTGCTCAACCAAGAACAGAATCACCAAAATTATACAACAATCTACATTAGATTTCACCAAGAATATCTAGAACCAACAAATTACAGATGAAAACCAATAGTTTTCAGAAACAACACAGAGAGCAAATAATGAGAGAAAACACTGGGCAAATATCTTGAAGCTTCGTCAAAATGATGAGTCAGGCAAATAATACAAAATGGTCTGAAGCATCTAACGGTTGCACCACGTCCAAATGGCATCATCACATCCTTTCAAAATAATAACCAAAATCGTATTTCAGCAAAAGTAGAGAATGCACAAAATGGAAAAAAGGAGGCAGTCGGGTTGCATTCTATCAACTTGGGCTGGACTTAACATTAATTGGGCTCATCATTGGGCCATATAAATGGGTTACATCATTGGGCCAAAGTGTTAAGCACAATGTTTAACAGAACAAATTCCTCAAACTATTCAATCTTTTTCACTCTTCACAGCAGATTTTGGCTCATTCAAGCAGAAAATGGATTTTCTAACAATAGCCAAGGTTCCAATCTTTTCAACACTGTCACAACTCTTCCAAAGTGACTGCACGAATTTTCTTGAATTCATGCACATTGCTTCAAGCTTGAATCTAATTGGTTTGTTCTTGAAATTCAACCAGCGGCCGAGCATCAAATTCCCCTAAACAATTGCTCGTCAATCACAACCACTGCATCAGAGATGAAAATAAAATCACAACAAAACTCTACTCTTTTGGTTTCTTTCTTTTGTTAATCTACCTATTGGACCGGTTCAAAAGATCAAAGCATTGCATTTGACACCCTTTCACTCCCAAATTATGATATGTTCTAAATGAATGAATAAATTAGTCCAACCAAGAATAAGCAAACCATGTTATTTTCTTACCCAGCAATCTAAGCCCTTGTTTGGCCCCCATTAAATTACATTGCATTACATTAAATTTTTCTCTCTCTTCATTTCAACCACACATTCATCAAATAAAATAATATTACTTACAAATAAAAAAAATTCAACCACACATTCTCCTATCAATCACTATTCTAAAAATTTTCAACCCTAAAAAATGCAAAATAATGGGGGCCAAACAGGGGCTAAAAATTAATACATGCTACAACTGAATAAAATGTTTGATGGTACAATTTTCCCTGTAACAAAAAGATAACTAAACCAGCAGAACAAGATCAAAAAATTCATGAGAAAGATTGTTGTTGACACTGTTTTCCGCAATGGTCACATTGACAACAAATGTCGAGCCCACTAGGATCCACGCAAGCAAATTTCGACACGTTTTGACCGAAAATCCGAATAGGAAAAGGATTGCGTTTATGGACGTTGAAGATGTTCTATGACGCGAGACAAAAATGTTCGAACACCTGCAATGTGATCAAATGTGATTGCATATTTAACTAATCATAAAAAACCACAACCAAATTAATAACAAAAACTCAAACAAATAATATTGGAAATAAGCAAGAGAGAAAGTTGAATGTGTTTTTGAATGTAAAGAGTTGCATTACATTCAAATAGTACAAGAATTGCTTATTTATAGAGTTCTGGCCGAAGTTGTAGTTGTTGGATAACAACTACGTGGCCTCATCTCCGAGGTCAAAGTTTCACATCACTCAGTCTGCTATGTATTTAATACATTGACAACGGGTCAACCACGTTATATCCTAGGCCAACAATCTTGACATTCATTATTACAAAAGTTACATTAATCATTCCTAAAGATTGTCCGCGGATTCTCTAAAAGACAACAAGCGTTTCAGTTAAAGGGAGCTTTGGATTGGAGCGAGGGCTTCGGTCAAAGGGAGCTTCGTATTGAAGGTTTTTGGTGTCAAGATCTCCGACTTCTTCTTTGACTTCGTATATAGTGCTTCGGTTTCAGAATTTCAGCTACTTAAATAATGCTTCAACTAAGGGCTCCAGCCACTTGCCAACTATTCGCCTTTAGGGTTTCGGCCACTTACATAGTACTTCGGCTTCAGCTTTAATCACTTATATAGTGCTTCGAATGAAACGGTAAATCACATCTTTATTGTTGTTTTGCAGCAGGTGGCGCTACGCTTCAGTCATGGAGCTTCTATTTACACGGCGCTTTGGGTGAGGTGCCGATTCATCATCTTTACCTATGACTTCAATTCGAGTTTTTATGACATGGAGTGTGGGCCTTTTGTTTGGGCTTCTTCTTGAGCCTCGATTTT